TGAGAAGTATCTGCTGAGGAGATGCTATTTAGTGACATCTGGCGTCATGTTAAGTATTGATTGGGTGGTAAATTTTGATCTGTTGAATTGTGATATATTACAGATAACATTAATGAGTGAGATTATCCCAGTCTAGGGTTTCCAAAGTGTGGTCTGTGGATAACAGTTTTTCAAACAGATTTTTTGGGGGGCTAAATATATGTGAGAAAACTACATGTGAATATGTATATTCACAATGTACACTGGTAGCACACCAAAGTCTCTGAGAGGTCCTATAGTAAAATAATGCCTATTAGCAGCCTAGAGAACTAAGCTTCAGAGGGACACACACACTGGGTAATGGTACTTCAGTGCATCCATGAAAGTTCAACAATATATTTATAAATAGATAATTTGTTTCTCAAATAATTCATGTATTCATTACATTACAAGCCAATAACATAATATGTCTATATCATAAATCAATAACATGGTACATGTGTGCAATGTAGGTGAATCAATTATGGTAAAGCTATTGTTAAATATTATTCTAACATTTACATTAATATCTTTTAAAAAGCCAATTACATAAAAACAATTTCTTTGTAAGTTTAAGTCCTGTTAGCTGGTACATTTCATTTGTTTTCTGGGGACTTCCTCTGGCTACCTCTTAAGAAACCACTGAGAGCCTGGCATGGTGGTGCATGCCTGTAATCCAAATGGCATGGAAGGTTGAGGCAGCCTCAGCAACTTAGTGAGGCCCTAAGCATCTCAGCGAGAGCCTATCTCTAAATAAGATATTTTTTAAAAGGCTGAAGCTGTGGCTCAGTGGTTAAGCACCCCGGATTCAATCCCTAGTACCAAAAAAAAAAAAAACCAAACTACTGAGGAAGCAGAGGACTGGCTATTGCTCACTGACACTTTTTCCCTTACAATTTACTTAGGGAGATCTCAATCTCATTAAGCCAAAGATATTATTTTTGTGGCAATCAGCTTCTTATCCTGAATGGTCCAGGTTCTATTTTCCACACAGTTTCTTTCAAGATGCTACTATGCCTCACAAGTTCTAGCTCAGAATGTTGTCTCTGCCATACAATTGATAATAATATATCATATATAATTTTTAAAAGTATTGATTTGAAAATACTAATAGGTCCCCCAAATTGGCATTTCATCATGGGTCCAAGAATATTCATGAAAATAAATAAAAGTCTAAGACATAGATAATTCTGACGCTATGCACACTATTCCTCTGTTGACATTCAGAGAGTGGTTCCAGAAGACAGCTTATGTGGGAATTTGTTCATTTATATACATACATGTATGTATGTACATTTTAGTTGTCAGTGGATCTTTATTTTTATTTATTTATTTACATGTGGTGCTGAGAATCAAACCCAGTGCCTCACACATGCTAGGCAAGTGCTCTGCCACTGAGATACAACTCCAGCCTGGGAATTTTTTTTATTAATGGCCCAGATTCTACAGTTTATTTGGTAGCAGCTGACCTAGAAAGGAGGCCTGGTCCAGGAGCTCCTGTTTTGCTTCAGTTTGGGAGAGAATTAGGGGCAGGATGCTTCTTTGCTCCATGAGAAGGAGTAGCAAGCCCCTTAGAAGGGGCTGAGGTTTTCTATGGGCATATTGGGACAGAGAAGGTAAAAAGCTAGAGCTGGTCAAATGTAGAAGATTTAAAAGTGTAAAGGCAGCTAGCATTCTCTTTTCAGACTTACAATAATTTCTAGATCAAGAAGCCCTATAAAACAAAAGGGCATGAAGGTGAAGGAGGTGAAGGCCCAAACAAACCAACTCCCACGGAGATAAGTGGCATTACATTAAATCACAGTGGGTGTGAGCACAGCTTGAGAAAATGCTTGAAGGCAGCTGCCTGTACCTATGAGGAACTCCCTTTTTAAGAAAACCAACAGTCCAGGCAAGTACTTTCTAGGCTTTTCGATTTCACAGGTAAATAACATGAAAAGAATTGTTAACTGACTCTAGTCACCTACTTCTATTTTTTTAAAAAGGATACTAACAGTACAAATTATTATTGCCATTGTTTCTTTTTTTCCTACCCGCCCCTCACAAAAAAGGAAAAGTACCGTCTCACAATTATATGCAATTCTTGAAATCGGATAATTCACTTTTATTAAAAAAAAACTCAGGACATGCTTCAAATTTTTCTCATCTTGTTAGAGTCACTTTGCCACCAACTATCACAGATCAATGATCTGGAATATTGGAAAACTCTGAAACATGTCCAAGATAGTAAAACTTATTATATTTAGAGAAATTCTTTTTGGTGGTATTAGTTGCATTATAGCATATAAATATCTCAGACATTACTTACTGAATCATGTAGGCAGCACATAAAATAAAAAGGCCTTTGAAAGTCAATGAATATAACATGCCCTGATTATTTACACATAAATATTTACAGATAAATATTGACAGATGTGGTACAAAGAGAATACTTTAGTAATGAGAGCATATGGAGGGAGTAACCAGAAAAGGGCATTGTTGATCAGGAAAGAGTCTTGCACCTTTTTAGGAAAGAGAAAATGGAAGCAAAGGGGTTGGAGAACATCAAGATAAAAAATGTAAACAAGCCCTGATTCTGTGACCTTTGAGTCAAATATCTGTTTTTATTTGATTCTGGTCTCCATGTGTTTCTCTCCAATCTTCAGTGGAGAGTTTGAGGGGTGACCCTATCTGCGGCCAATAATAGCTGGACCTTGTGTCAGTGTCTCTTGTCCAGTTAGTTTGGTTGGAGCAGGCCGTAGAATCCATGAAGAACAAACATGATAGACCAGGCCCACCCTTCAGTCTATGTTGAATTCTCTCAAAGAGAATTCAAAAGAGAATTCTTGCTGATTTCCAGAGATGCATGTGGGGAACAATCACCCCCAAATCTGTCTCCCATTCTTAATTCTTAATAATTTTGGTTTTTATGAAATTGTCCAGAACTCCATATTTCAAGCAAGACTTATAAGGTCCCCTCCTCCCACCTGAGGATTGATCTCAGGGACATTCTGTACCTAGGCTACATCTCTCAATCTTTTAATTTTTTTTTTAAAGAAATTTTGCAATAGAGGCTCCCTAAGTTGACCAAGCTGGACTTGAACTTGTGCTTCTCTTGCTCAACCAGGCCTTCCTCCCCAGTCGCTGGGATTACAGATGAATGCCACCATGTTCCACAGAGTTGGGTCTTAAATGTAAAAGTCTTGTTGATGTGGTATCTTTTCTGGGTGTTAGAATAATTTTTTAAAGGCTTCATTTTTTTTAATCTATCGATTAAATCAATCATTTTCTTCTAACAGTCAACATTTTGAACTGAAAATATCCCTATTTTCCCCCTTTCTCAATACTTTCGATTGTTACTTCATGAAATGTTTGGAAGACACTGAAGACAAAAACATGAAAAGAACCTGTAGCCATCATCCAAATTGCTGGTTAAAAATAAGCCGGGGAGGAGGAAGAGTTTGGGGGTCTACCAGTAGGTGGCGCTTGTCTCTTCTGAGAAGATGATTTTGCTCCGCCAAGAATCCCATGAGAATTAAGAACGACTATGTGTGCATGCAGTCAATGGAAGTGACACAGATCAAACCATACTTCAAGGCTGAGTCCTCTAAGTCACACGTTCCAGCCTGGTGCCTAGACCATCACACTTCTGCATTCCTACTCCCTGCTCTGAACGTGGATTTTTATTTTCATACTTCATTCACAGCCTCATTTCATCAAGCCAGATCACCTTCTAGGGACAATCCAACCTTGGATATAGAGAAAAAAAAATGAAGGCCCTAGAGAGTTGGAGCTGAAGCTCCAGGAAATGACTAAGATTATTAGTCTTGCAGCTGGTCTGCCCTTAGGTGACAGATGTTCTGTCCTCCCCTAAGGCCTGCAAGCCTTGGCCTGGCCCGCGGCAGAACGTGAATTCACGCGCTTGAATGTAGATTTATCAGTTCTTACACAGGGCAAAGGAGAAGCAGCTCTATAGGATATTTTGGCGGTACCCAGGCTCAGTCTCAGTCTGTGACAGACTTACAGAGTCACTAGCTTTCTAACTTTTCCTGGTACGGCCCAGTTTGAGGCTCAATAGGCCATAGCCAGGTCCTCTCCCTCAATTGACAATGAATTCTGTCCATCATAAAACGACCCTATTTCAGAAGTCCTTTCTGTGTTTGTAGCTTACTACTGTCCCTCAGCAACCATTATGCCCCAATCGTATTTGTCTATATGCGCTGGGATCTGGCCCCAGGGGTGTATAGTAAAGAGAGGGCAACCCTAGAGTCTGAGTCCAGCTCCGCCTCTGATTGCAGGGATGACCTCAGATGAATTTCTTAACTTCCTGTGTAGACTGAGGAAAGCAATTTTTTCCCCTTCCCGGTACCAGGGATTGAACCCAGAGACGCTTTAACTGAACCACCCCTCCGGCCCTTTTTATTTTGAGACTGGGTCTCGCTAAAATGGTGAGGTTGGCCTCGAACTTGAGATCCTGCTGGTTAGATCTCTTGAGTCTCTGGAGTGGCTGGGATTAAAGGCGTGCGCCACCGCGCCCAGCAGGGAAGCAATTTTTTCACTTATGGGGTTCCTGGATTTAATGAGATTTTATGTAGACGACCTCCTAGACTAGCGCCTGGTTCATTATAAACCCAAATGCCGGGGCATCTGTGGGCTCATCTCATATGAAATACTGCCTTTGGGGAAATGGGGGAATTCTGGATCAAACAGCCAGAATAACTCTCTTCCCCATGATCTCACTGTATTTCAAATATCATCCATTGCCTCGCCACTGTTTTCTCAACCCCACTAAAGCCTCTGGTGCCCCTGAACCTCCCAGGCGGCAAAAGAAAGCCCAGAGAGGCTCGGCGCCTAACTGTAAGTCACCCCGGAACAGGCGTCCAGCTCCAATTTCGGGGCGGGTTGCCCGGCTCCGCGTGGGGGTAGGCTCGGGCAGGACAGACGGCGTGGGGGAAGGAGGAGGAGAGAGCAGGCGGCGGAGGAGGGGAAAGCCGGCAAGAGGAGGGAGCAGGCGGAGGAGACACATGCGCGCTGCCGCCGCCGCCGCCGCAGTCCTTAGCTTCCCGGGGACAGGAAACCTTCAAGACCGAGCTGCCACTGGCGCCTCCCGGTCCGCGCCCTATTCTGCGCGCTTGGTCTCAGCCTTCTCCCGCAATCCCAGCGTCTTTCGGGGGAGTACAGCAGGGACTCAGCCCCAGCTGCCGTCTTCCTGCCGCGGAAAGCTGTGACCCCCCCCGCAGGAGCGGCGGGGAGGGGTGGGGGGCCCGGGAGAAGATGGCGACGCCGGGAAACGAACCCCAACCTTTCGTCCCTGCCGTCTCCGTTGCTACTCTGCATCCACATCATCATTCCCACCACCACCACCACCAGCACCACGGAGGAACCGGAGTCAGCGGCGGGACCGGTGGCGGCGGCGGCGGCAGCGGGGGTTTCAACCTGCCCTTGAACCGGGGTCTGGAGCGCGCGCTGGAGGAGGCGGCCAACTCTGGGGGCTTGAACCTGAGCGCCAGGAAATTGAAGGAATTTCCCAGGACCGCGGTCCCCGGGCATGACCTCTCCGACACCGTGCAGGCAGGTGAGAGAAGGCCGAGGGGCAGGCAGTGGGTGTGGGGGGCCGGCTGTCGTGTTTTCCCGACGCGGTGGCCAATGTGAGATCTGATCGCGCTAGGGGTCCATTCTGCGCGGGTTCTCTGGAGCAGGCGCGTGGGCGCGGGTTCTGCAGAGGGTATGGTGGCCCGCCTCACCCCACAGTACGTTGCCAGGAGGGCCGGGTTGTGCTTGGCTGCTGAGCCCGAGTGCGCGCGTCCCGGGCTCTCCACCCAGTGTCTGTCGCGCTGGGGAAGTGGCCGTGGGACTGGGACTTGCGGGTGCGCACTGAGCGCGGAGTGGAAGTGGAAGGATTTGAGCGACTGAGCCGGCTTCCTGGGCCGTGAGCATGGCCAGGAACCCCAGCGAGGGCAGACGCGTTTGCCCTCAACCCGGTCAAACCCTCTTTGCATCGAGGCGTCGCCTATCCTGGTGGGGAAAGCCAGACAAAGGTGGCACGCCCTCGTCCGACCCGAGGGCATCCACGCGCCGCGGCGAGACCCCCTCGGCGACATCCCTGAGCTTTCGGGCAACTCGGTGCCGCCTGCGAGGGGGTGCCGAGCCTTCCTCTTCCTGTGCCTGTGTGAGGAAGTAGCCACCGCGATCGCGGTGAATCCTAGTCGGCTGTCGTTTCGGAAGCAATCCATTCTCTCCTTCCTTGCTTTTCGCCCTCCGCCCACACTTTAGGGTTCCCATCACCCGGACTACCTGGTTTTCAGTAACGCGACCTTTTGCGGGGGCTCTGGATGGGAAGCATGATATGGTAAAAGAAAAGTAATTAAAGCGAGCAGGTTCTCTGGTGTGAACCCGGCAAGTTGTAACTCGCGCCAATAAGCAGCCAGCTTTTTCAAGTTATGTCATGTGTTGACATATTTCTGAGCCGTCTGCCTTCTCTTTGGTTGTTGGAGTTGTAGGAGCGGGATCCATAAACAGGAAGCAGGGTGGTGGAATGGGATTGGGGCCTTGGGATCTGTACAGAACTGACTTGGTTTCCGACCATCCGGTTCCGCTCTCTGGGGGACGGTTTGTATCCTGGCAAGTGTCCAGCGTTTTCAGGGCAGTGGGTGCCCCATTTTGGAGCTACCGCCCAGACCTCTTGGCTGAGTGTCAGGCCCCCTGGATCCTGTATGACTTAACCCTTAGGTCAAGATCTTCCAGTTTTCTCTTACAGAGGAAGAAGGGGGTGGGGCAATGGAGCAGGCAGTGGCTTTTGGATGCTAGGTTTCCAGTGCTCTTTTCCCCCTTTAATTCAATAAACATTTATCGGCATCCTTAACTAGTATTTAGATGGAGTTCTGAGTTCACTGGGGGCTAGAAATGCTCTCCAGGGTCATTAAACTTGGTTATTTGGATTTAGGGACAGTCTGGAATGGGCAAGACAGGGAATTTCCAGAGTTGAGCTGTTAGCAGCTGGGGGCTGTCTTTTGATAGGACCTTTTAGTTTCATCTTCTCAAGTAGAAGTTGTCCAGGAATTGCCTGAATCATTAACTTCAAAAAAATCTATTAAGTTCTACCTCCATAGAGTGTACCATGAATTATAGAAGAGTTGTGTAGGACTGCAGAAAACAGAGACCAGCAGGACCAATAATACTATGTGTTTCTCCAGTTCTGCAGGAAGGCTCACGGTCCTTCCTCTTCTTCAGTAATGCTGATGCTCATTACCAAATTAGGTGAACCTGATGTGTTTGTTGTGTTGGCATTTCTTTGAGAAAACCAGTGCTTTAAATGGGAACCACATCTTTCACTTATGACCTTGCCATGTGAGGTTGGTGCTTAAAAATGTTCCTTCCTGTTCTCTGCTTGCTTGTGGCCGGCTTAGGCTGTGGGTTTTGCAGGTTTTTATTTTGAATCTTACTTGCACACATTTAGTTTTTAGAAAATTTGAACTAGTTAAAATTCAGAATCTTTATGTTAATTCCTCATCCAGAAATACAATGTTATTTGGGACAGAGGGGCAAAGAGATGTCACCTGAGTTTGTAGGCACTTAATAAAGAGAAAAAAATAGTCAGTGATTTTTCCATGACATTTGAATACCCAAAAGGTATTAAAGATTTGCTTCTGCAAAACATCTTTGACTCAGGTAAAAAGCTGGGTGTAAACCACGTGTATTCTTCTCTTTATTCTAAATAAATATTTAGGTGAGCACTGTTCCTTATTTAGATGAGCAAAAAGCAAAATAAAGTAAGGGGTTAAAGGGATTTTCATCATGCATGATGCTGACCTTTCCTACAAATGAAGAGTTCTAGTGGAGTTGAAAGTTTGAATAGTAATATATGCAACAAAGATAGTTGTTTCTCCTCGGCTTATAGAATATCTCTTAAATCAAAATATCACATGAAGTTTCTTAAAGACATTTTCATGAATTTTGCCAGAGAGAGAGGGACAGCAAGCTTTTTCTCCTGGTTAAGTTGTCTTGTGAAAAGTAACTCTTCTGGCAGCCACCTATGCAAAACTGTACTCTTGGGCAATGTAGCATATCTGAGCAGAGTTGAAAACCAAAGTGTAAACACAGAAACATAGAGGCCGGAACTGCTCAGTAGAAGTGTAAGCTCTGTCACTCAAGTGCATATACTTTATTCATAGGAAAAAACTCTCACGCTCTCACTTTGGACTCATTAGTTTACTTCTGTTTCAAAGTAAGTTTTGTTGTGAGATGCTAGTCTTGTAGCAGATGAGAAGGGGAAAGATGCAGTGGTACAGATGGCACTGACCCAGATGGACAAAACCTAAGAGCCACAATTAGCACTTACTGAGTGCACTTTTATGTGCTGAGAACTTTATCTACGTTATCACAGTCCTCACTTGGCATAGTCATATTTTCCTTTACAGGTGGGGAGACTGGGATGGAGAGAAGTCAGGTCACAGGCTCAAGACTAAATCCCTACTTAGAGGCCAACTAGTGATTTGAATCCTGACAGCCTCATGACCCTGAGTTTGTTTTTGACAATCTCTGGTTAAGCAGAGGGAAAGATTGGAGAGGGACAGAATGTGGGAGGTGTTCTGGAGATTCATTTAATCACCATCTCTTCTGTAAATAGTTATTGAGCTCTACAAGTGGATACAGGGGATTCAGTAGTGTCCAAAAGAGAAACCTTGTTCTTCTTCCTGTGAAGCTTTTACTCTAGTTGGAGGGAGGGATGAAGAGATAAATTAAGAAATTCATTTTGCAGGATGAGTAGGAAGAGTTAAGGATAGAAGTAAAACTTGCTTCATAGACACATAGGCTGTTTATATTGACTTGCAGTAGCCTGTAACAAGGGCATGATGATGACTGCGATGGATAGAAACTAAAGTATAAAATTGTGCCTGATAAAAAAGTATAAGATGTGCCCTGCACGGTGGTGCACACCTATAATCCCAACAACTTGGGAGTCTGAGGCAGGAGGATCAAGAGTTCAAAACCAGCCTCAGCAAAAGTGAGGTGCGGGGCTGGGGATATGGCTCAAGTGGTAGCGCACTCCCCTAGCATGTGTGATGCACTGGGTTTGATTCTCAGCCCCACGTAAAAATAAAGATGTTGTGTACCCCTAAAACTAAAAAATATTTATTAAAAAAAAGTGAGTGGTCTCTAAATAAAATACAAAATAGGGCTGGGGATGTGGCTCAGTGGTTGAGTGCCCCTGAGTTCAATCCCTAGTACCAAAAAAGAAAAAGAAAAAGTACAAGATGCCCATCAGTAAAGCGTTTTTTTTTTTTTTTTCCTATGCTGATTTATTAAGTAGTGTCATTTTGGATGGAGAAATTCCAAAGGGTGTTTGTATGACTGAAGTAAAGTGGACTGAAAGAGGAATAAGAATAGAAATCTGAAACTGATTGCCTGAAGTTCTAAAGCAGAGGAACAAACTTAAGCTTGGAGTGTGGAACATTCCTTGAAAGCTGGTCTTGTTAAGGATGAGGCGTATCAGCAGTATTTTCCCCCCAATACTGAATGCAAGGGTGCTCCTACTGAGCCACATCCCCAGCCCTATTTATTTATTTGTTTGTCTGTTTTTAAGACAGGGTTTCCCAGCCTAGGCTTTGAACTTGCAATTTTCATGCCACAGCCGCATGTACACTCACACTGGCTATTGTCAGTATTTGTGAGGTGACTGTGAGCAAGCAGGAAAGACTATATGGGAAATGAAGAGTTTGTCCAAGGAGAAATATAAAAATGTGGCATAGAAATACTTGAGTGAATGTTTTCTTTTATGAGTATGTGGTGCCAGGGACCAAATCCAGAGCCTCATGCATGCTATGCAAGTGCTCTACCACTGAGCTCTCCCCCCCAGCCCTGAATGTGTATTTTTTATGTTCAGGTATGGATTTCTGTAGATGCAAAGGATGAGACAGTAATATATGAGAAGCTAATAGTTCCAGGAAGCTGCAGGAGCTGCCAAGAAGGAGCTCAAGGTGATAAATCTCCAAATAGCATTTGTTAAGCATTGTGTACAGAATGCAGGGGAAAGGTTCTTTGTGTGAAGTTGATTAGAAAAGACTTCCATAGGAGAGTAGGATTTGGATGGAAGGGATTTGGTTAGAAATTCCCATGGACATTCTGTTATTGGAAAAATGGTTCCAAGATGTGGAGTGAATGCCTGTCATTAAAATTCTAAGATTCTGAATAAGAGAGGTTTATTTAAGCCTGCCCTCTGGTCATATCCTCTCAACCCACTGCCACTGTGTAATGGGGTAACAGTGCAGGGCTCCTATGACCCTTTGAGGAATCTGGAAATGGCTGAGGCCTGGGATTTGTCAGCCTGTGGGATTGACACCCTAGTGCCTGAGCTGGCTCTCTCAGATGACTGTCTGATTCAAAGACGTTTCTTCTGAGATTTGTGGGTGACTTATCTGCTGAAGGCGGACGTCCTCTACCCTGCTTTCATCCTCTAGCCACCAGGTCTTTGGATATTTGTACTTTTCTGTCATTGGAATTCACAAAGGACTTGATAAAGAAATCTATTTTAACAACATGCTCTGTTCCATAATTTTGGTCACAAAGATTTTTCAC